CAAATATTTGCTGACTAGCTATTTGTGCCAGGCCCTGGGCGAGGAGCTGGAGACACAATGGTGAGAAAGTACACAGAGCTGTATTCTCATGATGCTCGCAGTCTGTGGAAGAAACAGACCCTGGAGGGAGGGAGACATGTGCTCTAGCAGAAGTTCTCCCCACACTCCCTACACTAGAGAGTTTTTCTCCCATGTGGAATCTGACAGGTGTGAAGACTTGAGCTCCCTTGTCACATGCACAGGGTGCACTCTCCAGTGAACATGAAGGTTCATGTTGTAACTGAAGCCCTCACCATAGGTATTGCATGTAATGGTCTTTCTCCTGTGTAGATTCTGATAGAGAAGATCTGTGTTCCCAAGAAAACCTTCCCCACACTCAGCACACCTGTAACATTTCTCTCCTGTGCAGACATAGTGATGAACTCAATGTTAGTGTTTTTTCAAAGCCCTTACTACACTTTTATAAATGGTGTTTCTCCTGTGGGAATTCTTGGATAAACTCAAAGATATATGCTCTGACTGAAGGAGCCTTGATAACACAACATCATGTTTGTAGAGTTTCTCTCCAGTCTCACAACCTGAAAAGTGGAGCTGTGACTGAGTCCTTGACACATACTGTTCTCACAGAAAGGCTTCTCTCCTGTGCAGACTTTGCGGTAAGCATGAAAGTTTGTGTTTTATGAGTTTGTGTCTCACATTTAAACAGTTTCTCTTGTGTGGGCTCTGACGCATTCAGAGATCCATGTTCTCTGACCGAGGCCCTGCCCACACTTAGCACATCTGTCGAGCTTCTCTCCTGTGGACTCTCTGATGGATGCGGAGATTGGAGCTCTGATGGAAGCCCTTACCACACTCCTCATACTTAAAGGGTTTCTCCCCTGTGTGGACTCTCTTATGGACATGAAGATTTGTGTTATAAGTGAAGCCTTTGCCACACATGTCACATACAAAAGGTTTCTCTCCAGTGTGGACTCTCTGATGGATGAGGAGATTGGAGCTCTGGTTGAAGCCCTTGCCACATTGCTCACACTTAAAGGGTTTCTCTCTTGTGTGAACCCTCAGATGAACTCGAAGATTTGTGTTATAACTGAAGCCTTTGCCACACGTGTCACATACGAAAGGTTTCTCTCCGGTGTGAATTCGTTGATGATAGTGAAGATCTGTGCTCTAACTAAAGCTCTTGCCACACTAAGGACAGTCCTGGAGTTTCTTTCCTGTGCAGAAAATGGGATGCTTTGAGAATGAGAAATTGTTTACAATGATGAAAAATACGATTGTCAAGTTTTAAAATCCTAACAGAGGGTGCAAGCAATAGAATATCAGACTGGAAAATGTGGAAAACTATGTTAGTCAATTAAAAGACCAACTGAAAGAGTTCTACCAGGACTCAGAAAAAAAGAATTTAAAAGGTGAAATTATGAGAAAAATATTAAGTCATGAAGGACAGATCTAGAGATCTTATATGCATATAAGAGATCTAGAAGGAGGGAACAAACAGAAGAAATAGTGAAAATGTACTTAATCTAAAAGAGAATTTGATTGTTTAGATTGAAAGAATGTAGGAGTGCTAAATAAGAAAAGACAAACTAACATAAAAACATCTGGATGAAATTTCTGAATTTCAAGGATCCAGAAAATATCGTATAAGCATTCAAAATATTAAAAAACAAAACAAGTTACTCCCTCAAGAAGAGAATAATATTGGCGGAAGACAATGGTACAGTGTCTCCAGAGTCCTGAGGGGAAAAGACAATAGTCAAAAATCCTAAACCTACACTGATGATTCCCCTATGACAGCAAAAGGAAGACACAAAAAAACTGCAAGACAACCAAAATTAGTCGAAATAAAAACTCACAAAAAGGGAAGACATGAAATATAAGTAGAAATGAATAATGTTCCCCTATTCCCTCAACAAAACTCTCATGAAATACAAATAGAAAATGTCCCTGAGCTGGAGGACTCAGAGATGAAGAGGCTCAATGACCACCAACATGATTACAAAAAAAAAAAAAAAATCACATATCTAAGCACATCATAGTAAAATTTCAAAATTCCAAGGATAAACATAAAATTCTAAATGTTTCCAGAAGGGAAGGAAAAGAAAAGCAGATAAAATAAACAAAGTGAAATGAAATAAAACAAGAGAAAATGACTAAATGAATGCCTCAGATCAGAACCAGCCATATCAGGAGCTTAAAAACAAAGATACGACGGCTAGAACACGCTCGGGAGAAATGATTTGGAATCTAGAGGTCTCTACTCCATCAAACTAGCTTTCAAAAGTGGGGTGAATATGAACACTGTTCAAATCTGCAGGGACTCTGAAAGTTTATCTGAAAATGAAAAAGAAGCCCAAGCAAAAGGCAGACCTAAGATATAAGAAATTATAGAAAGAAAGGGTGCCCATAAAAATTAAGGCTAATTTAATCTCTGAGAAAATAGGGGTACAATGTTTTTAAAAATAATAATTATGATTTCAACAAAACAAAGGGCATTGGGAGAGGGTGCATGTATGTGTATGTATCAAAACTAAGTACAAGCATGTTAATGGCCTTGTCTTGTTCTGGAGAATGGAAGTCATAAACCCTGATTAACATTTGCCACTCACAGAAAAATAATTTTTAAAATGTTATAATTTTAAGGGTAACTAATTGAAGGATTAAAAATAAGAGGTACAGATTAGAAACATATTCATTGTATAACCCCATCTTGTATAAGCACATATTTACATATATGTATATATTATGTATCAGAGATAATGGAGGTGTACAAATCAAATCTTACAAGATGTTTTCTCCAGTTTGTTGGTTTGATTTTTTTAACCTCACTCATTTTCTTTGATTTTTTGTTTTTGCTGCAGTGTTGTTTTTAATACGCTTGATTTTATAGAGCAATTTTAGGTTCACTGAAAAACTGAGCAGAAAATAGAGTTCCTGTATACCCCCTGGCCATCCCCCACCCCACAAGCCTCCCCCCAAATCAACATATGGCAACAAAGTGGTACATTTGTTATAATCAATGAACCTACATACGTTATCATCCAAAGTCCATAATTTACATTAGGATTCATTCTTGGTGTTACACATTCCATGGGCTTTGACAAATGTATAGTGACATCTATCTACCATTATAGTATCATACAAAACAGTTTCAGTGCCCTAAAAATCCTCTGCGCTCTGCCTCTAACCCCTGGCAACAACAGACCTTTTTATTGTCTCCATAGTTTTGCCTTTTATAGAATGTCATAGAGCTGGAATCATACAATATACAGCCTTTTCAGATTGGCTTCTTTCACTTAGTAATATGCATTTAAGTTTTTCCTGTGTCTTTTCATGGCTTGATAGCTCATTTCTTTTTAGCACTGAATAATATTCCATTTTTAATGGAATATACTTAAAAATAAAATGTGGGATGGAATTTCATTAATCATCTAACAGATTCTACAGGAAATATAGTTTTTCAAATTGAATTTTTATAACTTTTACATTTAAGACGATAAAATCAACAATTCACAGACCTCGCTCAAATTTCACCAATTTTATATGCACTCATTTGTGAGTCTATGTGTAGTTAGTTCTATGCAATTTTGTTACATATGTAGATGTGTAACTACCAAAGTCAAGATACAGAACTGTTTGATCGTGCTACTTTCTTCTTATTATTATTATTGATTTTGGAGAGAGGAAGGAAGAGAGAGAAACATCGATCAGTTGCCTCCCGTACTCGCCCCCCACCAGGGATCGAACCTAAAACCTAGGTCTGTGCCCTGATGAGGAATCAAACCCTCAGCCTTTCGGTGTACAGGATGACACTCCAACGTACTGAGCCACCCGGCCAGGGCCCTCCTGCTACTTTTATAGCCAGACCTATCTTACTTCCTACTTCCCCATCCCTAATCCTTGGCAATCACTAATCTGTATCTCTATGATTTTGTCATTTCAAGAATGTTATATAAATGAAATAATACAGCATGTAATATTTTGAGAATGACTTTTTTTTCACTTAGCACAATTCCTTTCAGATTCAAACTTTTGTGTGAATCAATTGTTTGTTCCTTTTTATTGCTGACTAGTATTCCATAGTATGGATGTATCAGAGTTTAAGAATTCACCAACCAAAAGACATTGATATGGAAAGGTTTGGATTTGGCTTAGTGTTTAAGCTATTCAATGAGAGGGAGGCCGGTTGATTAGATTAGGGTAACAACAGTGGAGATGGTGAAAAGTGATTGATTCTGGATATAACTTGAAAGCAGAGCTGACAGATTTGCTGATGGATTGATTTGGGGGTGAGAGAGAAAGGAGTCAGGATGACTCCAAGGTTTTTGGCCTAAGCAACTTTAAGAGTGGAGTTTCCATTTTATTGGGAGGAAGAGAAGACTAGAGGAAAAGCAGGACTAGAAGGGGAAGGGGAAAAATCAAAAGATGTTAATTCTTATTTTTTAAATAGGCAAGTATCATGTGTAACAAAGCAATTGGAAAAAGCAAAGCTGATCTGGTTCTGCATCTTGTAAAAAAAAGAGAAAGATAGGCAAATTTAAAAAAAATGATTAGGAGCAATGAGAGTGTGAAGAATGGGCAGTCTCATGATGGAAATGTAAATTGACTCCAACTTTTCAGGGGACAATTTGACAGTAACATAAATATATAATCTCTGACCCACCAATTCCTCTAATAAACATTTTTCCTATAGAAATATTAGAACCAAAAATATCCAAAAATACAAGCACAAGGACAGTTATTTCAGCATTATTTGTAATAGAGAAAAATTGGTATCTTAAATATCTATCAATAAAGCACTGGTTAAAAAATTAACTTCAGTATATCAATATATCATACAATGGAATGTCATACAGCCATTAAAAAAACTGAAATGGCTCTAAATAATGAAAAAAGGTTGAAATGGGTCTAAATATTTTTGACATGTAAATACATGCGACATAACCGAAAAGAAGTTGCAGAACTCATTTCTGTAGAATAAACAGATACACAAACAGATACAAAATAAACACAGGCATACCTCACCTTATTGCCCTGCACTTTATTGCACTTAACAGGTGCTGTACTTCTTACAAGCTGAAGGCAACACCCTCCACCAGCAAAAAGATTACGACTCACTTTATTGTGATACTCCCGTTGTTACAGTGGTCTGGAACCAAAATCACAATATCTTCTTTTGGGGTGATGAAAGTGTTTTGGAACTTATAAAGGAGGTAATTACACAACACTTGGATGTACTTAATGCCACTGAACTGTACAAGTTAAAATGGTTAATTTTATGTTATGTGAATTTCATCTCAAAAGAAAAGAAAGAAATACAAATAGGGGAGGGAAAACAGGTTTTTATTTAGGTAGCAACATTTTCTTTCTTCAATAGCAACTTAGACCCTCTGAGATTTGAATCTCAAGCCTTTCCTTAGTTAATAACACTTTTAGAGCCCAAAGCTTTTAACAACCAAGGAAACAAAAATTCTCCAAAGAGTAGTTGTCCTCACCCACTAACACCAGGTTGCCATAGATCTCCAGCATCACCTCTTTGTACAGGCCCTTTGTGCAGGGTCCAGTTGCCCCAACTCCTCCTCAGTGAAGTCCATGGCCACATCCTTGAATGTAACAGGTTCCTAAAACACCAATGAACAGTAAGGCCTCTTCAGTGAGCAAGCATCTACACCAGCATTTGTGGTACAAAGGGTAAACTTAGTAACACTGAGAAAGGTAGACAGAATAAAAGGGACTTCAGAGTCTGCCCAAGCCATGAGAATAATTAAAAGAATAAAAAATTTAAAAAATACATATATCTAGCCCAGCTGATGTGGCTCAGTGGCTGAGCATCGCCCTATGATCCAGGAGATTGAGGTTCAATTCCCAGTCAGGGCACATGCCTGGGTTGCGGGCTTGATCCCCAATGGGGGTGTGTGCAGGAGGCAGCAAATCAATGACTCTCTTTCATCATTGATGTTTCTCTCTCTCTCTCTCCCATCCTCTCTCTGAAATCAATAAAAATATATTTTAAAAAAATACATATATCTTATACAGAGGTTCACCAACACTAATAGTATGAAGAGCTCTTAGAAATCAATTTTCAAAAGATAAAGTGCTCTAGTTAAAAAAGGACAAATGAAAAATGATCTGAAGCCATGGCCTGGTAGCTCAGTCGGTTGGAGTATTATCCCAATATGCCAAGGTTGTGGGTTTGATCCCCGGTCAGGACACATACAGGACTCCATCAATGAATGCATAAATAAGTGGGACAACAAATCTCTTTCTCTCTCAAATCAATAAATAAAAAAATTAAAAAATGATCTGAATGAATAATTCCTAGAGGAAAAACAAATGGCCAATAAACACATGAAAAGACAGGCTGCCTCACAAATTATCAAAGAAATGGACATTCAGATAACCATGAGACATTATTTTCCCCTATCCATTGGGCAAAGATTAAGACTTATACCCATTACTAGTATGAGTGTGAGGAAACAGGTACCTTCACACACTGTTGGGAGGAGTATAAGTTGTACAAACTTTCTGGGAGAACAATTTGCAGTCTTTATCAAGCAAATCCTTTGATCCAGCAATTCCAGTTCTAGAAGTTCATCCTCATTAAGATAACTAATAACTTCCTTGCTGGTAAATCCAATGGAAAGTTTTCAATCCTTTTTATGCTTGACTCCCTAGCATTATTTGGCCCTGTTGCCCACAGGGTCTTCCTCAAAACTCTCCTCTTAAGGTCTGGATATCACAGTAACCTGGTTTTTCTCCTGCCTCTCTGATCACTGCTTCAATCTGTTTCTCTACTCAACTCATCAATGTTGGGGTTCCCTGGGTTGGATCCTAGGCCCTTTTCTCATTCTCCCTATGTGATCTCATCTATTTGGATAGCTTCAAATGTCATCTGAATGCTGACAACTCTCAAATGTACATCAACAGCTAAGTCCTCTAGCCAAACCTAGAGTTCCAGACACAAACATCTAATGATGAACATTCAGTGTGAAGCACAGTGCCTGATCTATAGTAGGTAATCAATAAATGCCTACCAAATGAAATAAATATCCACTTGGATGTCTCAAGAAATCTAAATCAACATGCTCAATTCTGACTTTATCTCCCTTTCCAAACCTGCTTCTTTCCCACCGTTCCCTAAATCAGGAAACCACACCTCAACCACTCAGATGTTCAAGTCAGAAAAATAGGGGTCATGCTTGACTTCTCTCTCATTCCTCACGTCTCACCCATCACTAAATCATGGATGACTTTGGGGGGTTGAAGACTTCAGTAGAGGAAGTAGCTGCAGATGTAGAAAGGAAGTCAGTCAATAGATATGGCAAACTTCATTGAGGTCTCATTTTAAGGAATTGCCCCAATCACCCCAACCTTCAGTAGCCACTACCCTGATCAGTCAGCAGCCATCAACACTGAAGAAAGATGGTCCACCAGTAAAAAGATTACAATTTGCTGAAGGCTCAGATGATGTTTACCATTTGTTAATTAAGGTATGTACATTGTTTTTTAGATATCATGCTATCGCACACTTAATAGACTAAAGTATAGTGTAAACACAATTTTTATATGCACTGGGAAACCAAACAATTCATGTGACACCCTTTATTGTGATATTTGCTTTATTGAAGTGGTCTGGATCCAAACCTGCAGTATCTCCAAGGTATGTCTATGAGTATTACTCAGAGATATCCCACACACATTTTCTCAATTACTGATGGGTCGAGCAAACAAAAATAAATCAGTAAATATACAGAAATTTTGAATGACTCAGATCTTATGGACACTTACAGAAGTTGGCACCTCCCATCAGAGAATATACATTCTACTCAAGCACACACGAAACACTGCAAAACATCATATACTAAGCCATAAAGAAATCAGCAACAACAACAAAAAAACAAGACTTACAAGAGGTATGGAAAGTCACCATATACTCAAATCTTCTCTTTAAGAAATGAAAGCTCACCTCCTTCAGAAAGTCTTCTTCAATTGCCCCAGTGCACACTGATTTTTTCCCCTCTCCTTAGCACAGGTATGACTGACTGCAGTCCTCTAAATGGAACTTAAGAATGGCTTCTGATCGTTTTATTTAACATACACATGAGAAGTAATAACTATTTTATAATATGCGTATATGAATCTCCCCCAAAGAAACCATGCATTTTGAAGAAGCGAATCTAAGTCAATTTGTTCAGAAACGAGCATGGAGCAGTCATGATGAAGTGGATAAATGAATGAGCAACATGTTAGGTAGAGAAGAGACCTAACTTAAAGGAGGGCACCAGGCAAGAAGAGAACATTCCCTTCGGAGCCTTCCCCCC